TGCAATTCGACCGTAAGTGTTATGTTTGGGATTGAATGTACAAATGTTTTAATTTTTATTTGCTGTCAGATGTCCTATATTTCAATCTGACACACGCATGATTATTCATAATAGAAACTTTGTATTTAATACACACGTAAGATAAAGTACCGATATAAGCATAAATATTTACATTCTGCTGGATCCAAAATTATTTTGCAGTTTTATAAGACACCTTTAAAGACAACGAAGAAGAAATATTATTTTTGTTACCTGAAGTAAAACACGAATTTACGCTTCAATATTTTCGTATTTGACTCAACAAGTTTTAACATAAAAACATATTAGTAGTACTTAGTATTGACCACAAGCGACAATGCCCTCACGTTAGCGTCGTTTTGTTCCGTTATTTTGAAACGAGCTTAGAATTGTTGATAAATGTTGTAAACTTATCATTTCAAAGTTGTATTTTTGTTTAAAGGTACTGCACCTAAAAAAACACTGGGTGTCTACTAACTATTACTAGCTATTCTTGGTAGTTTATGGAAAAAGACAAAATATTATTTACATGTATGTATTCAGGATTATTTTTCCATAATAAAAATTCCAGTATTTAGTGATCGTGTTCTACTTACTGATACAGTTATCATTGATTAATCGATTATCCGATCAATTATTACATTTTATAAAAATTTATAGAAAGTTAATCGTTGTAGCATTAGCCAGATTTTAATTGTAAACTAACGTGTTTTAAGAATTAAGAGGAATATACATATATTAATAGTCGGATTTGTGTTTCACTCAAACTTCGAAAATTAAATAATTTACACAAAGATTTCATTTGTTTGGAGTTCGCTTATAAAGGGCTGTATCAGCAATCGGCTTAGGGTAGTTTATTTTTTTTATTACTAGTTTTAAGTTTCCATACATTATCTTTGATTACTTACATTTATAAATAGAAATTTTTATAGAATTTTATATGTAATTTTTAAACATAATTATATTCCACGTATTCATCTTCAAAGTGATGTTTTTTGTTTGAAATATCTCACACCGTTAATTTATACGAATGAGATTATTAATACATTTTATTAATAATAAAACTTCAACGCCTTTCTACTGTTATACTAAATCCATAATTTTAAAGCTATTCATATTTAAGTCGATGGCTAAGCCATTAACTAAATTGATTTCTTTTGACCGTTACCTCTGCTTGTGACGCGTCCTTCATATTCAAAAGATTGTCAAACTTTCGCTTTCCTATCATAACAGAGTTCATAATCCATTCTAGGGCTATTCGATGGTAACCGTAACAATGAATTTCGAAAAGTAATACGCTTCTATCGACAAAAACATCACAATAGATAAGTTATGTAAACTCTCCTATACAAATTAACTTTTAGAATTCTAAGCGATATGGTTTTGTTTTGTTTTTTTTATATGATCGCCTTCTTTTTAAGTTTTGGAAGTCTAGTATGAGAAGTTTCAAGCTTAAATAACACAGTACATAACAAAATTTAGACCCTAAGTGATAGTAAGAAGTTAAATGACTACAGTAATAAATATTCAGTCTGCTGGTGCTAGAGTTTTGTATTTATCATTTACACGTTAAATGTTAAACTTGTTCAGACGGTATCGTCTTCATAGCATAACCTGTTTTAATCTTGTTTTTTCTTATCAAGCGTATTTATAAAAATAAAACCTTGTCTGTGTTAATCTTAGTATAAATTATTACACAGTGACTTGTATTTTTATTATATACAAATCATACTTGATTTAATAACTATAACTTAATAATATTACGAAATCTGGCCTTAGGAATTGCGTTCATTAGATTCCTACAAAATATAAAGCTTTTTATTGAGTAAGTGGCGTGTATTACTTCAGCAGAATCTGTTGTTTTAATTAATGATAAACAAAATATAAAAAAACTTTCCAGTTTACTTATAATGTTTAGATATAAATATGATAGGTACTCTTAAAAAATATGTTTCGTTTTGAAGTAATTTCCACATCATATTACTTATAAAGCATTAAATGATCCATGTGTCACATTTACCTAGAAAATATCTATTGGAACTTATAATTCACTCTGTTCGATAACGAGCATTTATAAGACACTTAAAATTATTTTGCAGTATAATTTTATACCGATTTTAACCTCAATAAACAGTTGAAAATCATAGTATTATAGAATGTGAAAAGTAGGCAAATCTGCGGTAGTCCGTTATACATATCTATTTATAACGTTTTAGTTTCATAAATCCTCAAAACTCAAATTAATAATAGCGTCGGCTTTCCTTTTAGAATATGAAATCTATATCAGACGTATTTGATGAGACTAAAAAATCTTTCATTTCGTTTGGCCTAAATTTTTTGTCCTCAATGGAGGTGGTTATGTGTAGGCTTTAAAATTCTTTTATGTGTTACCGTTTCACTTAAATCTTTTCTAAAAACTTATATTTTATATACAGCTTGGTATTTACATTGGGGAAATCGTTGGACCATGGTGATTTATCACATTCCACGTCATGGGAGTGCCATAGCGAGTGCCAGACTACATTGATTAATGACGTGAATAAAATGCAATTATAATTTGTATATAACAATGTTATGTGCTGTTAATGTAGGCATAATTTCAGAATTAACCTTCAATGTTTATTTTATTTATTATATAAAATCCGCTTTTCTGTTTGTCGTATTATATAATTCCTTATCTGACTCCAAAAGGTTTTGAAGTGAAATTACACTTGTGCTCTGTGGCGATGGTGTCCACTTAAGTAGTTGCACTGTGTATACCGTTATCGCCTTTTAACATAAAGAATATAATTCTTCTTCCTCTTTTATTAACAGTTTAAGTGTCTTTTGTGCACAATTTTTTTGTAAATATTTAACCATACAAAGTTTACCAAGAAGGCACAAAAAAGAAAAATAAATAAAACATTTAGAAAGACAGTTAATACCAAGCGGAGGAAGATTGATGAAAAAAGTAGAGCTATTACAAAATTCACTTGTAACAGAAGCAGAATACATTATGCATTTCAGCGTTTAGTCTGGAGATGAAAATATACTGCAAGAAAAGTTCCCTTTCCGTTCCCTACTCAGATATAATATGTAATAATAAAAAAAATATTTTCGAGAATATAAAAAAAATCTACTTTAACAGCGTTGATGAATTTTACAGGCAGAATATCTAAGAATTAAGTTATTTTTAAAAGTTCTTAATTTTTAAATTCTCTTTTTAAAAAAATGTTTTTTGTTGTCTATTGACATCATGTGGTGATAAAGAATATTTAATATTATAATAATAATTTAATATTATTTTATCTTAAAAATAAAGGTGATTTGTGAAAAATGCTGACGTGGGATCCTGATATATGATAATAGAAATATCACGTTCCTTATTTAGCCTTTTATTTTCTAATTGTTGAAAAAAGATTTAAATATATTATATAATAATGAATTAATGATTAATAAATTTAGTACTCTCGTAACGCTTCGTTCTAAGACTATAAATACTTATATAATATTTTATTACAATTTGTTAATATCATTCTGATACTGGAATTTAACTTTAATGTTCTTTAAACGGCTTGAAATAAATATTTGTTAGTAACTATTACTATATCAAGGAACTATGTTGCTGTAATTGCTTCAAGAACCCGCTACCATTTCGTAAATAATCACAATAAGAGAGAATGTATTCAGATTTCTTTAACACGCTCCAGGTATTTGAATGTGGTCTTCCGCTTTTGTTAATTCATATTATGCAAATATGTTTAATAGCTTGATGCTCTGTTGGAGTAATAATATGAAGAAATTAAAATTAAAAAGTCTAAATTATTTTGTAAGAAGTAATTTTTACCAGCGAAATCTCATGCTTTATCATATTTTTGTCATAAATATATTTTAGAAATTCCGTTTTGTTTTATTCCGTTTATTTCTTTATCATTATTACTTTTCGTCTGTTAGATTACTACAGTGTACAATGACATTGTTTCTCTTTTTCCACGCGAAAATATATCTTTTGGTAACTAATTCAAATTATTAAATATTACTACATAAAAAATCGATAAATTTATATGATAAGTAACAAATTGTTATACCTTTATATCTTTTGAATAATGTAATTATAATCTTCTAGACTACAAGGCCGTGAAACATCGAGGTGCCAAATATGTCAAGTTGTCGTCACGAACATAGACCATTGTTTGGTATCCGCTTGAGTCGTTCCATATTTGTTTGATAATCACTTGCTTAGAATATCAGATGAAATAAACTCAACAGTAAAACCATTCAATGTTATTTTATCGATGTCCATACTATATAAAATACAGTCTATTTCTCTTATATTTATGGGAGAAGGAGGAGAAAAGTCATGATTCTATAAAAATACAAACCTAAATCAAAACTTAGTTGCATTTAATGCTTTCATACTTGTATACTATAATAAATACTTATTCAAACCGTTCACTAAATTCATTATTCATCGCACCACAGCCTATCAAAGCCATTAATTGCCTTATCATTTCCAGACAGCAAAGGAAGCATATTTAATGTTCGCGATTTGCATCAAAACCCAAACTATTTCCTTGTTTAATATATGTTTTTATTAATACTTATAATCCATCTCAAGTAAAATAAACCACGTTTTTATTTCTTGTAGGTTTCAAAAACTCAACTACCAAGTTGTAAAAAGCTGTTCGGTAATATTTTTAGTTCATATTTTTTAGAAAAAAACGGTAATTATACTCAAATGTAACAAAGTTAAGAACTTTAGACAGTCGTTCTACCTTGAACTCGTTTGTGTATTTATATAATATTAAATTGTAAAGGGCAAACAAGCTGGTAAATAACTTTTTAAGCTAAACCAACAAACGTTTCATTTATAAAACGTTACTTGCTTTTTGTTGTGAATATAATGTTTGGTCTGATCTTACTAAGGAGATTTTTAGTTAGCAAACTACAACTGCTAACTGGCTATGTCTATCATATTGTAACCAATAATCTCTCAATACCAGGGTCACTCTGAGTCGAAGGGGGCAAAGAAACGTGAGAAAAGTACGAGTGGGAACGGCAACAAACCAACCCGCGGCGTCGCCACATCTTTTGGTTTCCGACGAAGACCAGCAAGCAGTTCCCGAGCTGATGATAACGCGAGAAGGAAACAAAAACCTCAAGACAAAAATGGAAATGGCGGTTTGTATAAAACAAAATAAATGTCAAGCTTGCATGCTTATTTTAATTTTCCAAGTTGCATGTACATACGTCTCTGTTTCTTAAATGCTAAATAAGGTGGCGTGTTTCAATAAAGGCTGAAGTTAGTGAAATAATTTTAATAAAAGACGTATAAAGAATTCAAGTGCATTTGTTATTGGATTGTTATACGTAGAACATTATTATTATTTAATATCACGTATTCTTAATACTTGTAATATTTTAGGCTCGACTGAAGATCTTAGAGCGGAGGAAGTATTATCGGGTCGATCGACTCCACTCGCCCGACCGAGAAAGGAAACATGCGGCCAACCTCTCCGTTCAAATAGGTAATATTTGAATACAAATTAAGATTTGAAGAATGAAATCTTTAATACGAATTGTTTTTAACAGAAATAACAAAATTACTCTATATTAACTTCTATGAGAAGTGACACCGAAGTGTTTTTATATAATTGTAATAGATCTAGAAGTTATAATTACCACTTATGATGAGGTCTCCTATTATAAGGGCTAAATGTTATAAGTTTTGTTAAATTAACACTCGATTATATCAATAAAATTGTAAAAAATAAATTTTAGATTTTCCTTAATATTAAAGCAAATGGTTTAATAGCACCGGTGCTATTAATGTTATATAGGCACCTTAGGTTATTAAATTTAGTAAATGTTTGACCTCCGTTATTTATAAGTAAAATAGCAGTGTAATGAAAAGTACATAATTAAAAATAATTATTATTCTGCTGTTAAAATAATGTTGTTTTCCTGTTATTACATACACCGACAACCGAGGCAATCTTTTTAAATATTCAATAATATTAATTATCAAATATATAATATTTTAAAACTTCATGAAAATAAATATAAAATGTGAATGTAATGCTACATTTTTAAGTTTATTATAAGTCCTCTTATGTACCTTGTTGTAATTCAAGCTACTTTTGTTTGATAGCAGTTTTACGTAGGTTTTTTTTAACACATGAGTTTTATACAGTGTCTACAGTAGGTCTTAATCCCTTAGGTTCGGTTTCAGACAGCCAAACAGTAAAACAGCGAAGGTTAGTGACGTGAGCCTTGTCGCTGAGCACGCCTTCGCTCCGCCCAAAGACAAGGAGACGATCAATAACAATGCTATAGGTTTGTGTTGCATAAAGACATTATTTTCATTAGTTTCTCATTTAACATTGGCAATTCTTTGTATTCATTATAAAGAACTCATCTAGATAGAAAAACTTTAAGTGATTTAGGTACAAAAGTTTTGAATTTCAGACGTCATGACTTTTTTCGAGTAATTATAAATTTTGTACAACCGTTTTAGGTTTTTAATATACTTTAGAAGTATTTTAGAAACTCTTACACATAATATAGGGACTTCATAACATCATAACGCGTAATACAAAACTTCGCTTTCATGTATTACTATTAAGCAAATAAAAAAATAATTTCTCTTGAGTATAATCTTCAGTTATATTCATTGTTCATGTTGATACTATTCACAATTAAGGCTAGTTTTAGTCTTCAATACTTAGGGTAGCCTCAACGAAGTAATTTGAATCTATTTAAGTAGATTTTTAATATATATATTTCTAACTATTAAAAAAGTTTTCCAGATAATTTTCATTTACTCACAACTAGTTCATAACAGCTATTTCCATAGTTACATTTATAATTCATATTTGTATCCGCAGAAAAACGAAACCCAAACACCCACAACCTGCCGTTAATAGCGACCCAAGTATCTTCGACTGGCGTCACTAACATCGTCAGTTCCACCGGAGTTCCAAAACCTGTCACAAAACAAACTGTCATATTGACGTACCAGCCGCAGCAATTGTCCATGCAAGTAAGTGTGCTTCAATAAATTTTACACAATATATTTAATACACGAACGACAGAACTTTACTTCTATGCTTTTCCTTCATTGTCTCAAATTAGAACTGTTACTTAGATTTACTTTTGGTACGGTTAAGTTCAATCGTAACCTTTATTTTGTATTTCACTTTTGAGCTCAACTTCAATATAGTTAAATAGTATGTATAAAGCAGACGATTGCAACCTTATTGTGACAAGACAATCTCCGGTTCGATATATTAGAAATCTTCTCTGGAATAGGATTAAGCGGATGAAGCTTAATACAAATCCAGGTTAATATATAATCTTTGTTGACTTGACACATATTAATCTAAAATTTTGCGACACAAAAAACATATTGACGAAACCCTCCACCGAAATGGATAGCATTCAATAAATGACATTTATTTGACACAACGATTAACCAATCAATAGTGTTCATGCTTAGTCCTAATAGGTTTATTGTTAAGAAGGTAAGTTTCATTAACCTTGACATAGACTTTGACATGCTGACATTAAAGAATACAAACAAGTAATATATTACGTGATTATTTACTTAGCTGATACGAATATTTTGTTAGCTCTTGGACTAGGTTGCTCTTGAACCAATTTTGTTTCTTTATTAAACGAAATCTTAATATATTACATGATAAGGATGGTCGTAAGCCACGTTCAGAGCAGTCCCACGTTCGTGGTACGTCTGTTCCTCGCTCGGTGTCTGAAGCGAAGCCGCCAGGAAAATACACCTTCCAGACGAATCAGCTGCCTCGACCTCAGTACCCAGCCGTAAAGAACATTGATGCTAAAACTACTAAACAGGTGACGAAACTTCTTTCAATCTATTTGAAGTCTTTGTTAGTATTTAACAAAATACGACGTCTCAGTCTAAGAGGCGCTGCTATTTAGTAAAAAATCCGTACAAAATAATATTAATCGAACTAAATACATAATCAAATGATTCCGGTACTGACGTAACGTTGTCATAGTAAAAAAAAGAAAGTTGTTGTTTTATATTAAAATAGCCAAAGCCATTCACAGCCGAGAGAATTCATTAATACCGCAATATAAACACATCAAAAAGTTTTAAAATTGTAAAGCACCTAATAAAATATGACATTATGATACTTTACTTCCCTTGGAACAAAAATTTCTTTTTATATTTACGTGGGTGTTATTTTCACCTTATTATATGCCTTATGTTGTAGGCAGAAGAAATCATTTTGCATTGAAGTCGGAAATAGGTCATCCGTCATCTATTTCGGGGCGGTTGGTTTTGAAACCAAAGTAAAAATATCATTGCAGTGTGCATTCGTCTATCATACATGAGATAATGATCACGAGATATTTTTTATTTGTTTCATCATAAAGAATATTCATAGATTAAATTTAAATTTTTTCTATTCCGTATTTAATAAGCCATTTGGTTAACAAGATCAAATTATTCTTTCTTTGGCTTTAAAAGATAAAATTAATTGATATAATCTGAATAACACAGCCGGTCACACTTGACAGAATAGTGAAAGAGACTGTGAGCAGGTTGCGTATCCCCTGCATGTTGTTTAGCAATTAAATAACCTCTTTAATATTATTTATCTGTGTATGAGTTTCTTTATAACGAAACCGAAACCGTCTTACATTACACGCTTCTATTTTTATTATTTAATTTAATTAAATTTATTCTGACTAAAAGGATTAATTTGGTGATATATATTTTTAGAATATTATCTTAGAATAATTTTACAATTCGCTAGTTTGAAAGTCATCCAAATTAATTTTAGTTACTACAGTCGAAGTGAATGTTACCTAGATCTTAAGATATATTTAGGTTTGTTACTCTCTTGTGCTTTGTGCTTTACCGATTCTCAAAGGGACATTTCGACATAGTGTATTGAAACGTGAAGCTGTCGCATCGTTATTTTGTATTTTGTATTATGTTTATGATATAATAAAAAATGGTTATTGTTTTAATTATTGTATTGGAAAGTCTAGTGAAAGTTTTAGTGTTTACAAAAGTGTTTTTTTATTTCAGGTTGTCAACAACACAAGAAAGGCCGGTGCTGTCGATGGATGGAGAGAAGGTACAATTTGGACTTAGTGTCTCTATAAATTATCTTTTGCATATAAAAAAACACGTTTTTTAAAGTAAAAAAGAATAGATAAGATTACAATCCTTATATCTTAAGAATGTTTAACTTTAATGAGAGTTAATAAACTTTTAAATTGATCTCGATGTTGTAATAAATAATTTCATAAAGGAAGTAAACGTAATTATTTATATTAAAAAATATTTTAATGAAAAAAAAAAAAAATTTACCGTATATCCTGAGTTCATAGCATCGTTGTGTTGTTCATTAAGCTCCGAACACAAAAACAATGCAATTAAACAATAATTAGTTACATGAAATACTGCCACTTCATTTTAAGTTAATTGATTTATAATAATAATGGAATTACCTATCCATATACCTTTAAAAAAATATTACATAAAAGCTTATATGAATGAAAGATTTTAAATTAAACATAAATGAATAAGTTTGCTTGCAAACTAAAATATACTTCGTTTCCAATTACATCACTATTTTTATGCAATTATGCAAGCCTTTACTTATAATAAAACATCATATTAATTTTCATGTTTGGAAAATGTAAATCCATAAATTTTTAATCAACACTTTGTTGGTGTTCGGAAAGAGTCTAATATTTTGCAGTAGTTAAGAAATTATTGTATATGATCAGAAATCAAAAGGTTTTCAATAGATGTAAAAATAAAAAACTTTAATATCATTTATTTCAGTACTATAATAATAAATACAAAAGTAGTCCAAAGTTTCGATCGCATTTAGGTGATTTAATAACAAATACGCACATACGTACAATCTTCCCATATATGTATATAGTATGAAGAGTTTCGGGAAATATGTTTGTTTGCTAGAGGTTCTAATAGAACTATGACAAGCATTAGGGTTATGAGATGAATTGCCAAAAATAATCTGTATAATTTTTCTTCAAGGCACAGGATCTGCGGTATCCTGTGATTCTGGAGTATGGACGGGTGGTGAGGCGGAGCTATCACCACGCTCTCGACGACGACCCCGAAACCTGGAGATGGTGATGAGAGGAACCCATAACTTCCACCTCAGAGAATTGCAAGTTGCTGATCTTGATATCATGGGTATGTATGAAAAGTATACATGAATAATAGTTATTGCAAATTAGAATGATTATCGCTAATAAAGACTAAAAATTATGGCTTTTTGATTGTTATTTCTTCATGGTGGAATGGTAGTAAAGAATCCTACTTATATTTAAGTTTAAAAATGTATTGCACTTCCAGTTGGTATCACTTACGTCATATACGAAGATTTCAACGAATTTTAGTAACTTTCTGTTAAACTGTGTATTGGTTCTGACATCTATAAGCCATTCACATGATTCCCGGGTATCAAATTAATACTTTTCGCTCATTTCAGACGACGCTGTAGTAACTGGTCACGCGGTCATTCCACTCCCAAAATTACCAAGTTCATTTAACGAAGAGTCATCACCAGAGTATGAAATGCAAGAGCCTACATTTGCTCCAACATCGCCTATAACAACAAAACCCGCATTTATCGAACCAGTGCAAAGAGATGACTCACCTATGTCCACTCTAGATCGATACAGGAATAAAAGTAGGCCTAGCAGAATCCAAACAAACATCGAATTCAAAGATGAAGAGAAATTTGTCCTAGACAGAGCACAGCCTGAAATACTTAACAAACAGGTAAATTAATATATTTACTATAATATTTTATAAAAATAGTAAAATAAAATTCGACAAAGGGACTGAGTTATTCTATTTAAGTTTTATTATTATTTGATTTATGTATGGGGCGTAGGACAAAAAGTATGCAATATTAGAAATAACAATATACTAAATCACTTTTATCTCTGTAATTATTTTAATTAAACGCGTTGGAAGGACTGTTTGGTGATGACATCTTATCGAACGATCAGTCACAGTAGAACTCAGATATAGTAGTAGTAATATTTGTTTGAAAAGTCTACTCCACGACGCTGCCAATAACGATTTGAACGCGATCCACTTAAATATATTTGATATGCTACATATACGAGATTCTAACGACAATATATACCTATAATAAAAATAAGATTGAACAAGAAGACCTTCTAACAATAACAAACAATAATAATTTAATTCTTTTCAGAAATCCTTTATAAAGTCATCAAGTGGAATAACATCACCAACTGCAGTTGATTCAAGCAAAGAGTCGAGTCCGTCTTGTAAGAGCGAAGCAAGTCATTTCGGTAATAGTAGTGCTTGGCAAAGTCATGCTGCAGGAGAGGCAATGGCAACGAGGTATGGTATTAAGATAGCAATGAATCTTGCATCTATAAAGAAAAGATTTTTATAAAGTTATATTATTTCAGATCACAAGACGATGTTTCGTTAGCACTCAGTGTATCAAGCTGCGAAGATGACAAATCCAAAGTGGAAACAAAGGAAACAGTTCCTGAATCCGAAGTGCCCATTAAAACGATAGTAATCGCTGATGAGCCTCCCGTTCCACATCCATTACTGATGAAATCACTAACCCTGAGTCAACATGACGCTCTCCGTGGAACTATGATGGGTATTACATTTTAACATAATAATATTTAGTAACTAAATTTTTTACCACTAATATATAATTCACTTGTCTTCAGGTTCTATGACAGGATCAAATTATAGCACGACAAGCACATGCACAAACCAGAGTACTGATCAACATACTCTAACCCTTACATTGGAGGAGTCTAAATTCGATTTGTCAGCTTTAGAAACATCAACCCAAAGTCTTCTTGATGATGAAACATCACCAGCTGATAGTTTGATATCATCAACGAGTACTAGTGACTCGAATAATGACTTACACGTTGAAAGGGACGCTCCATCCATATCAAGTGCATATCAAACTGCTAACACCAAAACTAGGTCTCCTGAACCCATAATAGAGGAGGATGATAGAGTGGACGGTGAAGCCTTGCTGCCTGTGAAAGAGGGAAGGTAGGAAATATTCAAACATAAAGTTATACAAACTTCTAGTATTAGTAGTGTTAAGAAGTCTTTATATAAGCACATATTTTTTAAAAACTTAGAATACTTCTACTATATCACGAAATTAAATAATGTCTATCACGTAGTTAGGAGAATCTAAACATTGAGTTTAGAATAAATAAATGTAAAGACATTGCTCTAGTTTGAGAGGATCATTGCATTTTAATTCTCATGTGTCCATGTTAATGAAAAGTATATGATTTTGATCCAATGTAGTAACGGAAGCGGCGACACCAGCAGTAAGGATACTCCTCCATCCCCCGGAACACCCACGCATGCTTCAGGATCGCTCTCACTTTCTGACGGAAGAGACTTTTTTGATGATGAAATAGCCGATCAACCAGCGCTACTCTTTAGAAGTAAGACATTTAATATTTTTTTACATATATACGTTTTTGTGATAAGGAAAGTTTTAACATGTAGGTATGGTGTTAAATACGTAATTATGATAATTAATCCATAAATTTATTGTTTCTTCTAGAAAACAACCAAGGAAGTCCATCTGTCAAGCGAGCAGACTCAGACAAACAAAGGCGAACCAGAGAAAAAATTACCTCAAGTCCTCAAGCTCAGCGGAGTCGAAAAAGTATGGCAGAGATTTTTAATAACATTTTTAAATAATTCTCATATATAATATCAGTGTAATTTTTTTATAAATCAAATAAAAGGAACTGAACCAGTACATGTAAACTGTAAAGCTAATGTAACAGTATAACTAGTAATAATGAAATTATTTTTACTTGGACCTGATCGAAATCGTGTGAACGAGAGAAAATCTAAAAGTTAAAATGCGCAAATTAATATAAAATCTCTGAAATATATAACCTTGTAAAAAACATAATATACCTACTTTATATAAATTGTTACTGAAGTTCTATGTGAAAGAAAAAACTAAATATTTAGACGAACCTATTTAATTTTCTTTATATAATTTCGTATGTCATCTCGTAGTGGGTGGTAGTCGTCATCCTACCGAGCGTACTCCATCCCTGGACACGCTCTCCAGCCTCGCATCTGATGACCTCATGATGGACAATGATTTAGCCAGGTCCATCACCAGCCTACAGAGCGTTGATGATTACATTGAGAGGTAAGTCACATATAAAGCTATACTATTTACTATATCAAGTTTTATTAATGTAAATGTCTGTAAAGGGAAAATATTAATTAACAATTTTACTTATAAAATTCATATTCGTTTCGCTTTCGTTTAACATATCAGTTCAAGGAAACATATTAAACATTGTCATAGAAAATATGCGGATATTTCTTGTTTAACAAATAAATCACCTATCAGGGAGCTTTAATAAATTTTAAAAATATGGAATTAGGTAAATAATAGTGCGAGACAAATAAGATCGTTGGAACAAAATTAAATTAAATTCAACAATCTCAATCCGTAATAAACGTCGGAAAATAAACAAAAAATTCATTCGAACAACCGGTTTGAAACAATATTTTCTTTGCTCTCTCAACATATGTAGATACATAAATGTACATATATATTCATATACATATTGTAAGTCAATAGTTTCTTTGTAAGTAGGTAAGCTTCTTTGCAGTATTGTTAAAATAAACTTCGTAGTAAAAATGTATTACGTATGTATTAATATTGATAGTCTTTCTCCTCACTAGATTGTCTTGTCATTTGAATATGTTCATTAACATCACATGTTAATTTTCTAATCTCCAGTGATCATTATCTTTTAAGTTTCATAACGATTATGAGTGAAAGTTGTTATTTAACACTAGTTAAATATAAGTAACATTAAGACAAAGAATATTTATATTATTTAAATTATTAATATTTTATATAATATAGAAGAAAATAAGTATGATACTAATCATAATAATTGTCAACTTCTAAAACGAAAACAATAAATTTTAAACTTTTAAAAATACATTTAAATTAATGAATAATAATTGGTTCAATAATTTGATCTTAAATTAAGAATTCCTACATTGGAGGGATTATGTGAAATAATCTACAGTCTTCTAGGATTGTTGATCTTTGGTTACAGAGCAAAAACTTATCAGATCAGAGACATACTCGTTATGAAGTCACGTATCAGTCTAGCGATTATGACATCACTGTACATGCATCAAAGTTGTTTCTAAAACTTGAAAACTAACTAACAAAATATACAAACTTCCTCAAACACTAAAAACATAGCTTCCTATTCTCTTTCAGCGATAAAATCTTTAGCTGAAAATAATTTATTACCTACCGTTGTCTATGTTTTATCATTAATTTATTTTAGCGTAGTTTGTATCTAACTGAAATGTAAAATGCAAATTAACTTTACTACCCTATAATTAGCGGACTGAAAACTAAGTAAGAATTCTAAATAATTTAAATTACAGAGCCAAACTCGTATTTCATTGAACGCGCTCTTTGAATACTTCGTCTTTAAAAATAACATGAATTTATCGCGTTCCTATCCTTTAACAGTGTTTATTACCTATTCAGGTTTTTAGTTATTTGATTTTTTGGTGTCTCTTTTATAATATTTATAATATAAAATTATTTTAAATATAGATGATGTGTATGCTGAAGTTTGATAATGAAACTACAGACTGAGCGATGAAAGGTTTTCACTTAGGAATCTTTGTACATTATAGTATTTACGTAAGTTATTAAATAAGAAATGAAAAACTTTATTATGTACTGTACTACTTGTAGTTGACTTTTTATTTATTCAATACCTAGCGAACCAAAGCGATAAGTAAGAAAACAACTATTGTGTTTTGCAGTTAGGACTAATTTATGAATCGCTTAAATTAACTCTCACCCTATATCTGGTTATAAAATATAAACCTTTTCTATGCAATCAGGTGAAATGAAGTCCTTACCTTGTTAATTTGTCTGTCTTCCGCAGACTGGATAGTTCACTTCGTAGTGGATTAAATTCGTTGGATGAGAGACAACTTCACCAAGAGCTAGCATCGTCTAAGGCGGCTGTACGACAATGGAGTCAATTGTTGGAGAAAAATAACCTTCTCGATCGACAACTCGCTGCCATGGCTCAAGGGAAGACTGACTCCATGACTGGAAGTACCAATAGTCTTAGCAATATTGGGTGAGTTAAAAATTTCACTTGTTTAAAAGACAGTCGATTTAAAGAAAAACATTTAAGACAGTAATAGGTATATTTATTTTCATCTATCGGAATTTAAGACATACATATTTGTATTATTTCATTGAAATAAATACATATAAATTATTCATCTCAATACCGATAAGAGATCTGAATTTCTATTACACTTACAAATGTATTAAGTTTTTGCTTAGTTTATTACACATATATATGCATAATTGCGGTTAACACATTGTTCTATTTTACATAGGTGTAATCTGCCAGACAGTTTCTTTAGAGACATCACTCGTATAGCGGTACCGCCGCTGTACGAGGTTCTATACAACTGGTTTGTTAAAAAAAACTCTATGTAATACAACCGCTAGTTAATAGAAGACCATTTATTATAGCGCTAATTATTATCATTTGTGTGATAGAGAATATAAAATTTGTGTTATTTTTAGTGGTATTATAAAAAAGTATAATTGGTTTAGGTAACCACAGGAAAGGACAATAGATAAAAATATTTGTAAAATATAAATTTATATAGGTTTATTATTAGGCGAATGTATATTTTATAATAAAGTAAGTTAAAGAAGTATTTAGAGAATGCTTTTGTGTTTGAATGTTTATTAAAACAAGCAAACGATAATGCTATTCAACGAAGATTCTGAGAAAGTAAACATTCATACCAACAACTAGTATTATTGTTTGTCAATCAATTCAAACTCTTAAACACTTATTTTTTCACTTTTTAAAATCAATTAATCGTCGCATCTTTAAAATTAATAACAAAATTATATAACGTTTTATAAAGCCCCTATACATTAATTGTCATTTAACTATTGTATTGGTATGCATAAAGCACTTAATGTAGCAATCATGGGTCAAAAATACCTTACATTACTACGGCAAATAACTGATATTCCTGCACAAATGTATCAATACTAAGAACCAGCTAAGAACCAGGGCAAGGAAACGTGGCAATTTAAAATGCAAAAAATTCACCGGAATTAGTAGATCCGTTTCAGAGCCATAAACAGATACATACACACACACAACACAAACACACACACACGCACCTTAAACTTATAACATCCCCTGTTTTTGCGTCGTCTTTAAGAATAACTTAAGTCAAACTTGATATAAAAGAGCTACACTTATTGTGATCACATAAATAAAACATTTTAGTAAGTTACAACTTAAGAGTGATTTTATAATTCAACTGTAATGATCGGCATTCTACTTTATATAGTAATGAATAAAATGGTCAAATATTTTATAATTTCAGAAAGTATAGGTATCTTTAAGTCTTAATGAATGATTGACAAATTTTAGATTGTATACAACCTACTATGGCCAAACCATGATATTGCAATTTTCTCATAATTCGCAATGTTAAAATCTCTAAGATTTCATAACATTAGCGTTTAATCCGTTACTAGGGTTGACAAAAAAATTCTGTAACCATCAGACGATTTACAGTTTATTTTGAATTATTTTTTGTCACGACACTTTTTAGAATCGAATCTTGAAGAAATCAGGTCGACAAAACAAATAGACCAAATTATGCAAATATTTTTAATTTAATCTCTATCGAAATCTAATTTTATTTAAAAAATTATTTTATAAAATTGCCAAAACTTTAACTACATAAAATTCTGTTCAATAATATGAAAAATGCGTTACGAATCACTCATATTGGGATTGTTTTAAAAAAGGCTGTACTTGAAATGTCAAGGTTTTAAATTATCCAATAATTGCTAGTTAAAGTGTAATAATTATTTATTTTAAAACATACTTTAATAGTTTCGAAATACTATTGCCATCTGGTTTTAAACATCACTTTAAATAAATAATGTTAAAGAAGTAAGCCATTAGAAATTTTCTAACACGTTCTTACATAAGTTTTATGCAAACAAAGTTATTTGAGCCTTATTATAGCTTATTATATAATTTAGGCAAATTATGTAAATAAACTCCGATTGACCGTTCAAAAGGTAATTATTTAACAGTCTCTTTTAAGCATACGTCATCTTCAAATGATTAAGTCCAACTGGCAGTGATATAAAAATTTATCAATACGGTACTGAAGCCTACAGTTACGAGTAAGTGTTATTTTGGGAATAGAACATATTATTTAGAACTGTTACAATTCGGTAATCATATAACAAAGGTGTATACTGTAGGTCAAATTCATACTAAAATAACTACTATCAACAATCTAATACAATGGCAGTTGCAAAACAATGGGTATCGTTGCCCACAGTCTTAAGGACGGTATAGTGAGAATCCCTACTAATATTATAAATGCGAAAGTAACTCTGTCTGTCTGTCTGTCTGTCTGTCTGTCTGTCTGTCTGTCTGCTACGCTTTCACGCCTAAACCACTGAACTGATTTTAATGAAATTCGGTACAGAGATAGAGTTGACCTTGAGAAAGAACATAGGATAGTTTTTATCCCAGACTTTTGAAAGGTTCTCTTGGAAACGCGATATAACCGAACTCCACGCGGCGAAGCTGCGGGCGGAAAGCTAGTTATGAATAAATATAATATCAAAGGATTATGTTTCGTGGATAATAACAGCTTATGATATGATAAATTTAGACACGCTTCCGTGTAAACTAAGGTTTTATGGTTTCGTGGTCAATGTAACATTAAACTCTGGTTCTACAGGATCGTAATACATATTTATAATCAGTTTAATTTTATGCACATTGAATATATTTAAAAAAGCTTTTTCTATGAAAAATTTACTCCTAAAATACGAATTATAAAATGCTTTGTTTATATTTTTATATAGAAATAAAATTAGAAACCTCTAAAGTGTCTAAAATTTAGATCTTGACTATTTTTTCTGTTAACTTTAGTTATATGATTGAATTTTAGTTTTCTTTAAAACATTTTTTCTTTTGAAACTTATAAATGCTTAAAATTTTAACGATGGATAATATAATGGTACAATAACAGATTAAAGAATGCAAATTGGTGATATACATGTATTTTTGTTTCGCAAAGAGAGCTATTAAAAAAAGGGCAGATGCTCATAGCCGCAAGTTTGAAGTTCCGTTCCGAATTTCAAGGTACATTTTACGGTGAGCTTTGTGTCGAAAGGTCCTTGGACCATGAGGTAATCGGATCGCAGCTGTTTCTCTCTTGGTTCATCTCCCGCGGTTACAGAATACCATTTACACTCGCTCGCTTGTGTAGTCTGTGGTGCGACGCGCGCGCGTCCGTACGTTACTCGGACGATTTTAAACACGTGACACTAAATCAAAAATACTCGGGTCATTGAACGCCGAAATAGGTTCAGTTATTAGTGTAACTAGATTAATATCTCGTTAACTAAAACGTGTCCGGTACAGCTTAGCGGTGTGACATATAATTTAATTATTCACCTTTTATAGGATTCGCATATTCTATGTAAAGGTTTAGTATGATGTCTATCTGATTTATTTAATTCTCATAAAAACATTTATCAAATTACCTATTTTTTTTTTTTTGTGCTTTGGTATCTTGTGTTTATTATCTTTATTGTTTGTATGTTTTCAACGCTATCAATATGAGAATAACAAAAAAATGCACTAAGGTTTGAATTGAATTGGGTATTCCCAATACCTTTTTAAACATCTGTTCTTCCTTCGAACAGATGTTAAAGTATAAAGGGATATCTTATATTTAAAGATTTATTTCTTCCATTCATACCCGTCAAGGGTATTGTGAATAGAATAATTTTAAGTCTACCTTTATTAACAATTTAAATAGGATATCATACATTACATTCAAATGCTTAGGAATAATTACTACAATTTTATTTATATTTAAATATAGTCGTAATTTCAATATTTCTGCAACCCTATTCATTTGCCATGTTTAAGTAATCTACCGTCAAAGAATGTTTTTTTGATAACAAAAGCATTAGTAAAATAGTTTTAATGATCTTGATGCCTGATGTTAAGTACAAGGGAATGTAACTACATAATGACTTCCTTATTAGTTGATATGTAAACAAATACCACGCCTTCAATTAACAAACCTATTCTGTCTCTTTGTTTCTAAACAAGCTATTATATACGGAGCTAAAAACATAAAACTCAGCTAATACTTGCAATATTAATTATTCCTTGTTTTGCGATATGAATTTTTAAATAATAATTTGTGGTGTATATGGTTACTGTGCGTAATGTTGTATTGGCTCGTTGCTATAGCAATATTGAATAACTTTAGGGAATTCAAAGCTTTTAAAGTACGGATAAATTCATTAAACGATCGTGTTTCACTACTTACAGTTACAGTTTACAGTTTAACTACTTATGGTCTTGTATATGTTAAATGTTTAAAATGATAAAATATTCTAAAGAAGCTCGGTAAGATGTGCATTAATCTGTGGTTAACAACTTGGTATTAATATTATTCAGCTTTCTTTCCATTAACGTTTTCTAGAATCGTATATTTTTTATGTCCGCCTTATTCCTTATACGTATGTATATAACGAAACATTTCCTTTCTACTTGTATCATTGTGAATAAAAATTCTATTAAACCGAACATAATTTAGAAAGTTTCTATAATGTGGTTCTATAAAACATTAATGTAGCAATGGCAATTTTTATATATTTTTGATCTATATATACACATATATATATTCTAATGTCAGTATACACAATTGAGTATCTTGATATGGCCTATCTATGTTGTACAATGAGTGATATGTTATCCACCTAACAGCGATAACACTAACAAAAGAGCTATATTGGCAAAAATCGTGAATAATTAGTTTAAAAATTGTTTATTAGAAATATTTTTTAAATGCTTATAGCTTATCATCTTTAAGATCTCTGTTCCTATATTAATCTGTTTCGTTTATATCTATTGCATATTAACTTCATCTATAGTCACTAATCATTTTGAAAGGCAAATCTGACGTACAATTATTAGCGTAACAATCTGCTGCTCTTATTGCAAGCTTTAATTTAATTTTGATTGCTTTTCCTCATACTATTTTCTTAGAATGTAGTAAATAAGTGGTCCCGTAGCTTTCCAAGAACATTTTAATTATATAGCTACAATTTTTAATATAATTCTTTGTTTGTGTTCTAATATATTTAATAAACGAGTTTTTTAAACGGTTGATAGTTTTATATAAGACAGATTTTTATAAAAATATTTATAGAGAGTAAAAGAAACTTTACCTTGAAAGAGAAACGAACATTCACCCATTTGTAGTTTACGATTTTTTTTTTAAGGATTAAGCAAAGTTTGCAACGCAAGCTTATTATTGTTTAGCACAAAATGCTGAACGAGTCATCTCACTTCTCAGTCGTTTCGCAAGTTTTATTTTTTCTCTTT